CCCTTCCTTCCCTCCTTCCTTTTTTTTTTCTCCATCCCAGACAAGACCTTCCTATGTAGCCTAGACTTCCTCCCTGTTTTGATATAGGGTCTCAGGTTGCCCAGGCTGACCTCAAACTTAAGTAGCTGTGGTTGGCATTGAACTCATGACCGTACTGCTTTAGTTTGCCCTTTACTAGGATTGCAGATATGTGTAGCTACCCCCCATAAAGGATAAAGCAGGGCTTTTGTTTGTTTGTTTGTTTGTTTGTTTTAATACTTATGGGGATTGAACCCAGGGACTCATGAAGACTGGGCAGGGCTGTACCACTGAGCTACATCCCCAGCCCTTCAACCAATTTTAATATTTGAAAGTATGAACTTTAAAAGGAATTCTGAATTGATAGGTGCTTGAGAGTTGAGAGAGGCATGAAAGTATTATTTCTAAGATTGAGAGAGAATTTTAAGTTTATTTGATTGACATTTTAGAGATTTGGCTTTAATCTGTTCTTATTTAAGTAGATCATGCCTGCCAGGTCCACATTTAGAAATTTAAAAGTCACGGAGTATATTGAGTCTTTGGGCTTTATTGACTCTCTTTGAATTATTTTATTAGACTTCTATCAGACTCCAGTGGTACTTGGCCTTATGCTAATCCATATTTAAACTACGGTGACCCTTTGTCCTGATTTGCCTGGGACAGTCCTAGTTTACACTTATCCCAGCGGAACTATTAATAGCTTCATCCTTAACCCTCAGTAATAGGTTTAGAATATTATATTCTATAATTGCTCTAACTTTGCCTCCTAACTTTCCAAGAATACATGATTTCTCATTAATTGCTGCAATTTACACTTGCTTTATACAAATTTCAATGCTTTTCTTTCTTTCTGTTGGATTACAAGCGTCATTTGAACTTTAGAAGGCTCCTCATGGAACCAGGAAGCCAGCAGCAAGACAGTGACAAACATAGCCACACAAAAATTACTTTTGAAATTAATAACCTGTTAGAAAATTGTCATGTTGTTATCCAATAATTTTTATTAGTCAGGTTTTATTTCTGTCATTTTCTTAATTAATCACATTATTAAATATTTAATAAATGTCAATGGCAGAATAGCACATACCTTCATAGCCAAAGAGAAGTAATAAGAAGAAGCCTTCGATCTTGCGTGTCATTTTCCCCTTGTCCTTGGCCACAGCTCTGTCTAACTGAAGTGGGGAGCTGGCCTAGGAGCAGGTGATTAACTTGAGCCACTGGCCCCACTAAGCATCTTATTCCAGTTAGTTCTTAGGTCTTCCACTCAGCCCTCCTCTAGTTAACCCACACAGTTCCCTGCCTCAACAGGAAGTCTCAGAAGATATTGTTGACCTGTAGGTTGGTTTAGCAAAGAAGAGACTGGTGCTAGTCCCTTTAAATGTAAATCAACAACAGAAACTGGAGTTCGGACCTGGGTCCCTAATTCTTTCTCTAGCATCATTTTCCAGGGAGTGACCTTGAACTCACAGCCTGTTTGTAGAAAGTGTCATAGTGTTCTCTCCCAGAACTTGGCGTTATGTGGACATCTGCTCTCTCAGGAAAGCACTGTATTTGGTGCCGGTGGCTCATTTATACACAAGGATGTGCAGTGTTGAATTACTTATGTTCATGACAACATGGTAACAATCAGAATGTCCAAAGTTAGGAAGCTGGCTAAACGCACAGATTTCCAAATTGATCTGGGAGGAAATCCCACTTGCACACAATGGTGTGACCTCAAGGCAATTTTTTTTGTCTGTAAAATGATGATAATAATAGCTACTTCACAGGATCCTGTTGAGGTTGAAATGGGATGATGTCACAAAACACATAGCAAGGCTGGAGATGTGGCTTAGCTTAAGATGGAGAGCCTTGCTTGATTCTCCGCCTCACAAAACAAAACAAAGTACTGGTCAATGTCTGGCAAACTCAGCTACCATTATTACATGGCCATTGAAAGTAAAATTGATGGAGAAACAAGGTGAATGGATGTAGAGTTTCAGTTTTGCATGAAAAATTTCTGGAAATGTGTTCCCAGCCACATGAATACTTAACAGTACTAACTGTGCATTTTAATGGTTGAGGTTTTAAAAAGAGTAAATTGACTGTTAACCGGAAAATCACAGTATATTTTTTTGAGTTAGAAAAAGATGTAAATTTATACACTGTATAATCAAAACTGGGGATGGGAGAAGCCAAGAAACAAACAAACAAACAAACAGAAAACCCTAAAGTTTCTCTTTCCCCGTTTAATTCGTTCTCTGCTGCCATCATCTTACCCTTGATCCCCGGGACCCCAGAAACCTTTCACTCATACTTTTGTCAAAGATAAAAACGTCTCTTCACCCCCTCGAAAGAAGTACTCCTCCCTGCAACAGAACTGTAATAATATGAGCAAAACCCTTCAGTCATCAGTCAACAAATAGGTGAGGAGTGAGAGTAATCAGGATGCGTTATATACATGTATGAAACTGTCAAAGACGACATTTAATTAATACGTTTAAAATCATGACACTTTTGTATATGAATTCTTATTTAAAAAAGAATATTCATTCCACTAACCCTCCAGCTACATTGAAAAGGACTATGCTTTTGTTCTGGCTCTGTATTTTAGAGTTGAATAAGATATTACAGAGTTGAATAAGATATTAAATCCTTAATCATAATCAGCCTTTAAAAACTTCAGCTGCCATGAAAGCGTGGCTATGTTGACGTATTTTCGTGGGAAGTTTTGAGGGTCAACTTGTTCTGTCTCTGGAGGAATGGATGCTGCGAGGCGCTCATTGTCGGGTGTCCCTGAGAACCTGGGAGGTGGGGTAAACAGCAGCTAAAGTTCCAAATCGCCCTGCCTCCACTCTGAGTTAATTCTTGGATCTGGAGATAGTGGCTGCAGTCTTGGTGGAGAAGAGGTGATATAAAAGTGACAGGAAAAATACAGGTAGAAGAAAGAAAAGAAATTGTTTCAGACTGGCTGCGTCTGAGAAAACGTGGTTCCACTGGGGCTCGAACCCAGGACCTTCTGCGTGTAAAGCAGACGTGATAACCGCTACACTATGGAACCGCACGGCTACCTTTCTGCTTATAAGTCTATTCATAGCAGACAATCAGACGCAGACGTTCCACAGGAAACCCTGCCTTCCGCCGTGGCCCCGCCCCTTCTCAAAGGCGCGGAATTCAAAGTGGATTTTGAGCCGTTGCCTCAGGAGTTCTGGCAGATAGGCCACCTTGTGGCCCCAGAGTCGTGGCCTCCCGAAACCCGGGTCACTCTAACTTCCTGAGTCCAAACTTTCCCTCAGCAGTGGCAAGGCCCTTCGAAGGGTCGAGGTTTACCCTGTTTAGGCACCGCTGCCCCTGGCACCTTCCCTCAGCTGTGCCTTCCTTTCCCACTTAGAGCGAAGGGACTGAGTTACCCTGTTGGAAGGAAGTCATTACAAGCTCGCCGCTTGCGGCAGCGTCTAGGCTCTTAGCTCTGGCCATCGAGGACTAGAAAGCAGCTGCCCAAGCTGAAGAATCAGGTACTGCACAGTGTGGTTGGGCTCATGTTTATGATGGCATCTGACTTGCCAGGAGTGGAAAAGGTCCAAGGCTGCAGCCCTCTTACCTTTCCTAACATTCCCTCCGTGAAGTCACCTAAGGGATAAAATTCTCAGTCCCATTTGTCTAGGGCTAGAAGTAGGGGTTGTGTGGTTGTCACAGAGGAAATAGCACCAGCCGCATCACATAACTTGAGAGGCCTGGTGCAAAATGAAAATGATTGTCCAGTGTCTGTTAGGTTATGAAGAATTCAAATGATAGCCAGCGCTCTGCAAGAAATGTAAAATGTTGGGACTCTCCATCACCAAGGGCTTGGCTTGCTTTATATTGTGTCATTTTGCCTTCTCTGGGGTTTCTGAATGGGTCTTTGTCGCCATACTAGGATTGCTCACCACTCTCAAGCTTGAAAACCTACTAAAAACCATTGTGGGGAGGTCTTTAACCATCCTGGTGGACATGACCTGGGGGCTGGCAGTTATCCCTTCTCCTGGCATCTTCCTTTGAGGCTGGCAGGATAACGGAGATATGGTACTGATTGTAAATAACACCCTTCCACCAAACCCTGTTTTGCTGATAATGCTGAGGGAAGAAACAGGGTAGGGTGAGGAGGAGGATGGAGGGAACACAAATGTGGGGGTGAGTGGAATTTTAGTTCCACTGTTGCTATTTATCAACTATGAACTCAAGCTGGTCAGCTCAACATGCTATTTCTCATCTCCTTTCTGAAACACAGTGGTTGGACTAGACATCGCTACTTTCATGCTGGATCTAAATATGCACTTCAATTTCCAGACAGTTGTTAGCTTTTGTTTTCTCACAGACCTAGTTAAAGGCAAACTTAGTGAGTTTGTTGTTTTTAAAGCTAGATCTCATGTAGTCCAAATTGCTCTCAAACTGACTGTGTAGACAAGGATAACTTCATATCCTCCTGCCTCTACCTCCCAAGGTCTATGATTATAGGCAGATGTCACCATGGTCAGTTTTATGAGGTCTGAAGATTGAACCCAGGGCTTTATGTATGTTAGGCAAGCATTTTACCAGCTGAGCTATGTCTCCCACTCCAGCCTCCCTTTTCTTTGACACATTTTTGTAAGGCCTTCTGAATACTTGATGCCTAGTTGTTAGCTATGAAATAGTCATGAGTGGCCGGCCATCAGCTGAGAAATGAATTCACAGAAGCTGTGCTTCCTACTCATCAGTGGCTATAACCCACCTATTTCCAAACCCTCTATTAATTTAAAAGAAGATGGCCAAGAATTGGCCCTAAAATTATACATGCCAGTTGTGCTTTGGTTTGTGCCTCTTTGTTTCCCCACCCCCCAGATTTCCAACTCTGCCCTTGGCTATAAAGGTCATTTGCCAGGTACAAATTTTAGCCAAGTCTCTGCACTTAGACTTAATGTACAAATGAAACTGGAGCTCCACTAATGCATGCAACAGAGATTTCTGCCTTTGAAGAAATTTGTTTTTTCTTTTCCTTTTCTTCATTCTAACTGGAAGGGAAGACTCTCCTTGTCTTTCTCAAAGTATAGTCACAATGACTATTTTTAGTCAAGAACAAGCTAGCTTACAAAGTACTCTCACATTACTCTTGGGTAATAGCCCTGTGAGGTAGCCACGCATTATTATCTCCAGTTTTTAAGTTGAAGGAATTGAAGTGGAGGGGTTGAAGTACCTTATCCATGACCTTTCAGCTGACGAGTGGTGGGGCTGGATTGGTACTCAAACTGCCGACACTTAAGAGAATGTACAAGGATCAAGTCCGTAAAGGCTACATGTTCTCCTAAGAGTGGTTTGACTTCTTGTGTATTTTCTCCGTGTGAAAGTAGGGAAGTAGATATGCATATTTTAATATTTTGCATTTTTTGTTTTGTTTTTTAAGACAGGGTTTCTCTATGTGGCTCTGGCTGTCCTGAAACCCATTTTGTAAACCAGGCTGACCTCAAACTCACAGAGATCTGCCTGCCTCTACCTCTCAAGTACTCTTTTGCATTTTTTAAACAAGATTCTCAAATGTAGGAGCTATGAGCATGCTAAAAACAATTGCTGATGACTTTCAACTTGGTGAGGTCTCCAATGATGGTTCTGCCTGGAGTTTCCATTTTCTAAGTTAAATGTGTGAGGCCTGACACCCCTGTGTGTCTGAACAACTATAGGAAAGATATGCAAATAAATTAATAATGAAGACTAGAGGTTTGGTGTTCCCTGATTTCTCAGATGGTTTGTGTTGCTTCCCTGGTGTTTGCCTTTATTGATGGAAAGCAATTTCATTTAAGAAACCCTAGCCACAGTTAGGAATCCTAGTTTATCTGATTGCCTTTGCAGAATGGAGATTAAGAACCCCTAGCCACAGTTAGGAATCCTAGTTTATCTGATTGCCTTTGCAGAATGTCTCACTGTTCTTAATGAGAACTGAGTATTTAGTAGGGAAAGCAAATCACTACTACAAAATGGCATAGCTTACTTTACCTCGTCTAGCCCACCATGTTCAAAATACTTTGAAACTACCTTCTGCAACACACTCTTATTGCTTTTGAGTCTTATTTTTCCATAGTTCCTTATATCTGTTCTCTCATTCAGCTCAGATTCTCTAGCCATTTTTATCACTTTTTGTCTGGTTTATTGC